GGACCATCTTCCACTGCTTTCCAGGCCACAGCGGAGAGCTGGCTCGGAAGTGAAGCAGCCGGGACTTGAACCAGCGCCCATATGGGATGCTGGCACTGCAGACAGGGGCTTTAACCCGCTGTGCCACAGCGCTGGCCCCAACACTGCCTTTCAAATATGTTAACTAAATCTTAAACACACACACACACACACTTTGATGAAATGCCTGATCCCGTGGGCAGGAGAAGTGGTGCTTATCTTAGCATCACTCTGGCCAACACTATTATCATTTCTAAAAACCCTAGTCAGCCTCACGTTGTTCAAGGCCGCTCACCCTTGCTCCCGTATGCACCGGAACTCCCTGTGCGGAGGGGATCCACAGCCTCGTCCCATGCGAGGACCGCAGTGGTCCTGTGTGTGACGGCCGGAGCCTGGCAACACCACTGCTCCCCAGGCTGGGCTGCATTCCACCATTTCATTATGTGTATGCTGCTGGGTCACAAAGGAAATACAAGCTGTTGTCTTTAAAATGAAAATAATGTGGAGTGCACACAGTGCAAAATAAAAGCCGCCGTAACCTGACCTTGCTGCTCACTGACAACGTGGAGTGCACACACATGCGTGTGCACATGCACGCACACACGCACACACACATGCACACACACGCACACACACCCTCCTGCATGTGTCAGTAAGAAGCCCAGTGTCTCCCTCTAGAGGTCTCTTCAAGAATTGTCTCAGAATCGCAGGGTTCACTTGAAGGAGGCAGGTCCAGTGGCGCCCGCCGCGGGTCCCTCACACGTCCTGCCCCGACGTCTGCCCCGGCTGCCCGCAGTGGGAATGCTGCCGCCAGAGTGGAGCGTCCCGCAGGGCTTCCGGCCCCGGCCCAAGCCACACACGGCGCTGGCCCCGAGCCTGGGTCTCCCGTCCACAGCCCCTGCCCCAGAGTGAGTTCTCTCCTGAGACCTGCGTGGCTTCCTTGCCCACCCCGACGGGGCATTCGGCAGCTGGCCCCACGGCCCCGCACAGGGAGGCAGGGGACCGGATCTCTCCCCTCCTGGGGCGCCCCGGGCCGGCCCCACACTTGCCCCCCTCCCTCCCAGGCTGAGGAAGGGGCAGGTTTGAGGTCTGCTCAAGAGCTCCTTCCCTGTGGTCAAAGACAATGACAGTGCCGGGAAGTGAGTTCATCTCGGTCTCAATCCACGTGGGAGACGCAGGTGACAGGCCGCTCCCCCAAGGGTGCCTGGGGTCAGACCCGGCCAGCGCCGCCTCGGGACCACCCCTCTGCCTCGGCCCCTCGCCCACCCGCCAGCCACACTTTAGCGAGTCCTGGGGGCCTGGCCGCCTCAGTATCCCTCCCAGCTCAGAGCATGCATTTAGCTTAGTGAAGACACTCACCTCCCAAACCAGAGGACCAGGGTTCAACTCCTGGCTCCGGTCCCTGACTTCAGCTTCCTGCTAACACAGATTCTGGGAGCCAGCGGGGGCGCCTGGGCTCCCGCCACCCACGAGGGAGACCTGGGTTACGTTCTGGCTCCTGGCGTCAGCCCGGGCCAGCGCGGACCCCAGCCACTGGGGGCATTTGGGGACTGCACAGTGGCCAGACCTTTGTATATTCCTTCCACCTGACCCTGCTTGCCACCCCAATGCCACTACTCGCTCTTTTTGAAGACTTATTTGACGGGCAGAGTGACGGAGAGAGGGAGGAGAGAGAGCATGCGTACTTCCATCCACTGGTTCACTCCCCCTGGGGCTGGGCCAGGCTGAAGTCAGGAGCCTGGAACTCCACCCGCGTCTCCCACATGGGTGCAGGGGCCCAAGCAGTGGGGGCATCTTCCTCTGCTTTCCTGGGCCACAGCAGAGAGCCAGGTCCGAAGCGGAGCAGTGGGGCCTCGAACTAGCACTCCGACGTGGGAGGCCGGTGTCACAGTGGTGGCTTAACCCGCTGTGCCAGAACGCTCCACAGTGGCAAAGCTCTCTTGTCGGGGCCGTTTCTGGCACGTCCCAGTGCCCACCCCATGGCACCTGCCCAGGGCGTCCCAGGACCCAGGTGGGGCCGTGGAAAGGGCTTGATACTGTCAGCCCTCCTGGAGTCGTGAGGCCTCTCTGGGCCTCCGGTCCCTAATGTGCAGCCGTTAGGTGTCCAGGGCTCAATAAACGCTGGCACACACACATCCAGAATGAAGACCACAGTGTCGGGCCAGCACTGCGGCCCAGTGCTGTCTGAAGCGCCAGCATCACATATGGACACGGGTTCGAGTCCCGGTGACTCCACTTCCCATCCAGCTCCCTGCGAAGGCGCCAAGGGCAGCAGCAGACGGCCCAAGTGCTCAGGCCCCTGCACCCGCGTGGGAGACCTAGAAGCTCCTGGCTTCGGATCGGTCCAGTCCCGGCCTTCATGGCCATTGGGGAAGTGAACCAGGGGGTGAAAATCTCTCTTGATCTGTAATTCTGACATAAAATAAATTTAAAAAAACACACACACACGGATTTAGGGTTTCCCACGCAGGACTCCAGTGCACGCTCACATGAACCCGGAGGCAGCCCGCGCCCCGGGAGGCCAGGGCGGAGGCGCCCCAGCCGCAGGAGGGTCGCGGGCCGGGACTACATTTCCCAGGAGCAGCTGCCCGCGCCCCGCGGCTGCCGGGCTTTTAAAGGGCCTCGCGCGAGGCGAGCGGCCGGAGTTCCGGCTGCCGGCTGCAGCACGGGTGTGCGGGGCGAGGGTCGGCCCGGCCGGAGTCCGGAAGCCCCCAGCCCCGCAAGGAGCGCAGGCGAGGCCACGCGAACGCGGAGGCAGCTTTCCTCACCCCGCGCCCCCGGACTGCGCAGCTTGCGAGGAAACCCCTCCCCTTGCAGTCCACCGAGCCGGGGGAGAGGGCCTGTCCAAGCCCCGCGACCCGGGGCGACCCCTCCCCCGCTCCTGACTTCAGTCCAGGGAAAGACCTGCGGGGCGCTGGGCAGGGCGGGGATGCGGGATGTGACGGCAGCACCACGAAATGCCGGCGGGGGTCGCAGGAGGCGGGGGGCTCCCAGAGCCCCGCCCCCGTCCATCCCCCCAAGCCCGCCGCCTCCGTGGCAAAGCCGGGCGGGGTGCTGGGCAGCGAGCGCTTTGTGGAAAGGGCCCGCGCGCCGGCAGAGAACAGACTCCTGCAGCCTCGCCGCCTTCGCTGCGGCTGGGCGGTGGGAGGTGACGTCTCTGGGCTGGTTCCTGGGGTGCGTCCTCCCCCGCCCACCGCTTTTTGGGAACCAGCGCTGTCTCTGATCATAAGCAAAGCAACCTACAGGGATGCTGTGTTTCCGAATCCCGACACCTGGGGTAGCTGACAGACATCACCCAAACGAGGACCTGGACCTTCTGAACTAACCTGGCTTGTGACCGTCTGCCTCCCCGCCAGGCCTGGGCAGAAGCCGTGCCCCCCCCCCCCATCACTTGGATTAATCCGCCCACCGAGTGAGTGTGTTGGGGGGACTCATCAGTTTGCTTCAGCCTCAGGGCCTCCCCGGTCCAGCAGGACCCCTCCCCCCATCAAAACCTTCCAAGCCCTCTCCGGGCTCCTGGGCCAGCGCACAGCAGAGATGCTTTAGGGTTCTGACCAGCTCCCCCACCCCAGGGCTACCGGTTAATTACAGTGACCTCTCTGCCTCGGGATACAAGCAGTGGTTGTGGGAGGGGACCCAGGGAGCAGGCATCCCAGGGCGCTGCCAAGTGGGTCCCTGCACGTGAGTAGGGGGTCCGCCACAGCCCAAGGGTCCCAGGGTCTCTGGAGTCCCTTCTGCCGGCCTCTGGACCTCTTCAAGTCCGTGGGAACCCTGGGGCTCCCTACAGACAGTGGCGCCCCTGGTCGCCCCCTGTGTACCTGCCGAGCCGCATGGCAGAGGACTCACGCATTTTAACAACGAGGGTGCGTCTTCCCAGCAACATGGCGGTGGTCCCGGCCACGGCTGCGGGAACGACTGCACACTGTGCAAGAATCAACCACAACCCAAGGAAGGCGACACCCCCACCGCTCCCCTCAGCGCGCCCTTTCACAAGTCCCCAAAGCATTCAGGAATTCCCATCCCACGGGGCCCCAGGATTCCCTCTGGTCGGAGCTCTGGGGCAGCCCCACCCCTACCTCTACTCTCAAAGGCCTTGGGAGGGGACTGGGCCCCCCAGGCTGGGCCTCGGGTCGGGGGGACAGCGAGCTTTGTCTCTGAGACCCCAAAACTGTCAGGCTGAGGAAGGCATATGAGTGAACTCCCGCTAGGGCATATGTGGGTGTCTGAGGGGAGGCGGCCACCCGGAAGACCCCTCTTCCCCTCTCAGGGGACCCAGGCAGCACTGGGGTCTCAAAGGGGTCCTCGCTGGGGTCGCGCTGGAGGAAGGGGTGACGGCGGAGGGGGAAGGGACAAAGTTTGAAAGTGCCCTTGCAACTCTGCCAGGGAAAACTTTCCTTGGGGACCCCCGTGGACAGAGAGCGGGTAGGGGTGCGGAGGGCCCGGTGGCGGGGTGACCCCGAAGAGGTGCCCGGACCCCGGGGGAGCGACCCCTCCCCCCTGTCCCGGCCCGGCCCGGCTGGGAGTCGCCCAGCTCGGGGCGGTGTGTGTTAGTTGGGGTCGCTTTCCAGCCGTCCCACCGGGCTGAGGGACCCCGCAGCGAGCCGAGAGCCGGGCCCCCGGTAGCCCCAGGGGGCAGCTTTCCTACGGGGGATTTGCCGCAGCGAAGCTCCGCGACCCCGCAGAGCCAGCCCCCGGCAAAGGGGAAATGTGCCGGCGCCCCCGCGGTCCTCGGCGCCGTTTGGGGCGCGTGGCGGGCGCAGGGGGCGGCAGCCAGGCCGTTGAGCCGCCCAGCGGGGAAGCCCGGGGAGCGAGGCAGCGGCCCCGGGCGGTGGCGGGGAGCAAGAAGGCCCGGGCCGGGGGGAAAGGTCGGATTTGCTGGGCGGAAGAAACACAGATGGCGGCGGCGCGGCGCCATTCCGGGCCGGGAGCAGGCAGCCAGCAGCCCTGTCCTCACCGCGGTCCGCCCGCCGCCGCTAAATACCCGGATGCGCCGCCCGAGCGCCAGACGCGGAGCTGGGAAAAAGGGAGGCGCGGGAGGCGGAGGCAGGCGCGCGGGGAGCGAGCCGCAGCCCGGCCCAGCCAGCCGTGCCGGGACCCCGGCGTGCCCGCGTCGCCAGGGGCCCGAGAGCAGGCCCCACGGGAGGACGCGGCCGGCCAGCATGAGCGACAACTCCACGGCGGCCGCCGCGGCCAAGCCCAAGCGGGCCAAGGCGGCCTCCAAGAAGTCCGCCGACCACCCCAAGTACTCAGACATGATCGTGGCTGCCATCCAGGCCGAGAAGAACCGCGCCGGCTCCTCGCGCCAGTCCATCCAGAAATACATCAAGAGCCACTACTCGGTGGGCGAGAACGCCGACTCGCAGGTCAAGCTGGCCATCAGGCGCCTGGTCACCGCCGGCGCCCTCCAGCAGACCAAGGGGGTAGGTGCCTCGGGCTCCTTCCGGCTGGCCAAGGGCGACGAGCCCAAGAGGGCAGTGGCCTTCAGGAAGGAGGCCAAGAAGGCGGTCAAGAAGGCGGCCGCGCCGAGGAAGGCGCCCAAGCCCAAGAAGGCGCCCCCCAAGGCCCCCCGCAAGAAGCCCCGGGCTGCCCCGGCCAAGAAAGCCAAGAAGCAGCCGGCTGCCACGCCCAAGAAAGCCAAAAAGCCCAGGGCCGTGCGAGCCAAGCCGGTCAAGGCCTCCAAACCCAAGAAGGCCAAGCCGGTCAAGGCCAAGGCCAAGGCCAGCGCCAAGAGGGCGGGCAAGAAGAAGTGAGCGGGGCGGCTCCCCGCCTGCTGTCGATGCTGGCGCTCGCGCCGCGCCCCTGCCTCTTCCCCTCTGACTCGGATTCCGCTCCCGTGCGGGCCTGCCCCGTGCTGCGGGACTGCACGGGGATGTGGCTTCGTCGGCTGGCGCGGAGTCCTCCTGGTGCAGGGGCGGGGCGGGGCGGGGGCGGGGGCGGGCAAGGCAGGGGCCGGGGACTGCGAGGCCTGCGGAGCCGGCGGGCGAGGGCTCCCGTGCGGAGTCTGGAACCTTTGGCCCCGAGGACGCGGCGGCGGCGCACCGCCGGGAGGAGGAGGAGGAGGACCCGGGCGTGCGCCTGCGGGCTCCCCGTCGTCTCGGCCGGGGAGGGGCTCGGGGGACACTGGGACCAGCCCGGGGGAGGGGCCGTGCTGTGGCTCCGGCGAGGGCTCCAGTGCGGAGTTTGGAACCTTTGGCCCGGAGGACGGGGCGGCGGCGCACCGCCGGGAGGAGGAGGAGGAGGACCCCGGGCGTGCGCCTGCGGGCTCCCGGCGCGAGCGGGGCGCGGGCCCTGTCCCCCGCGGCCTCCCCATCGTCTCGGCCGGGGAGGGGCTCGGGGGACACTGGGACCAGCCCGGGGGAGAGGACGTGCTGTGGCTCGGGCGAAGGCTCCTGCGGGTGCGCGCACCCAGGTGCCTCGGAGTGCCCGGCTGAAACTGCCCGCGTCCCGGGAGGACTTCGCTTCGCCCCTGCGTTCTCCTCGCCTGGGCTGCAGCCCCGCCGCCGCCGCGGAGTTCACCCTCGGACTTGGTACTCGGCGCGTTCCGTAAGTCGTCGCGGGGGGCGTGGACCGACGGCCACGCCGCCCTCGGCCGCGCGGTTGCGCGCGCGTCTGTGTGCGCGGCTGTCGGAGCCGGGAGAAAATGTGCAGACCCCTCCTCCTACTTGAATAAAACAGGAACACCGCGCACTGGCGCGGCCCCCTCCCCAACCACCTTTTTAAAAAAAAAGTGTTATTCGTGCCCGGAAAATTTTGCTGTCTTTGTAATTTTAAAACTTTAAAATAAAATTGAAAAAGGAGAAAACTTGAGCGGTGTATCTTCTTTTATTTTGAATACGAGGAGATCTGGGGCGGCTGTGGGGTCCTCCGGGCCTCCGCACCTGGAAGCGGGATGGGGTGACCCCAGGGTTGGCGCAGGCCGGCCGGGGCCTGCTGCAGCTCGCTGCCCCGGGGCGCCGGGGGCGGGGCCTGGGACGGGGCGGGGGGCTGCTGCGCTGGGCCCTCCCCTCCCCCAGTCTCCTTACAGCTCGGTCCGCCTCCACCCCGCCCCTTGGGGGCCCCTCGCTCCCATTGGCCGGCAGGGCCCGGCCCCCACGCATCACGCGGCGGCGGCGGCGGCGACGGCGACGTGGGGACGATGTGGGCCTGCGGCGCGTGGCGCGGGGCGCTCTCCGGGGCCGCCGGCGGCCGCCGCGCGCACTCCGCGCTGGCCCAGCTGCGCGGGATCCTGGAGGGGGAGCTGGAGGGGATTCGCGGGGCCGGCACCTGGAAGAGCGAGCGGGTCATCACCTCGCGGCAGGGTCCGCACATCCACGTGGACGGCGTCTCCGGAGGTAACCGCGCCTCCCGGGAGCCGGTGGACCCGGCGGGCAGCTCCAGGGGCTTCGGGGCGGCTCCGCGGTGGAGGTTTCGGGGGCAGGCTGGAGCGGGGCGGCACCTGCCTTCCCAGCCCCTGGCCCCGTCCAGTCTCGCGAGCGCGCACTAATTAGGGCTTCCCGGGGTTTGCTGAACCTGGTTAAACCTGTTTCGATAGAGGGAGGTGATTTGGGCTTTTGGGCGCAGAGGCAGGACTGGGGTGACACAGTTTCGGGAGAACGTGAGAGAGACACCAGCTGGCCCCCACCATGCCACCTCCGGGAAGCCCGCAGGTGCTGCCACAGGGACTCCTGATCTGGACCGAGGAGGGGCAAGGAGGGGGCTGGGGCTCAGACGTGCGGGTGGCCAGGTTCCCGGCCACAGTGACAGGCGGCAGGGTTCCAGGGCCGCTGCAGAAATCCCAGGAGGAAGCGGCTCCACCAGGGCTCCCTGGCTTCTTTCTGCCCAGCGGTCAGCACCCGGCTTTCTTGTGCCAGGCCCCGGCTGGGTGCCGCTTATCGCCAGGCCCACAGAGCTGCCTGCCGTCCAGGAAGCAGGCACGGGGTCCTTGGCACTCGTGTGCACAGCTGTGCAGTGGAAACTTGGAGCAGGGCAGAGGATGGCCTTAGCAAACCGGTTTTGCTTGGCCCAGGCTTGGGAGCCTTCGGGGCCTCGGCAGGTCAGCGGGGGTCGGCAGGTCAGCGGGGGTTGCCTGGGGCTTCATAGGAGAGGCAGCCCCCCCGGGGGATGGGGCTCGGCACCAGGCAGCCAGGTCCCCTCCTGGGGTCTGGGAGAAGCGGTGGCCGTCAGGGACAGGAGGAGCCTGTGGCCAGGGCCGGCTTCCTGCTCGGGGAGAACGATTCAGAGTCCCGGGGGGATGGCACCCAGAGCCCACCCTTTCCCCACTCCCGCGCTCCCGCACCTGTCGTCCCCGGCCCCTGGCCCGGCGTGGATCCTGCTGCGTGTTGCTGCCTCCTTGGGGATGAACCCAGATTGCTGTGTCCCGGGGCCTGGTGTGACCCTCGCTCAGGCCTGCTGAGTCCCTCTCTCCCCCACCTCAGGGATCCTCAACTTCTGTGCCAACAACTACCTGGGCCTGAGCAGCCACCCTGAGGTGATCCAGGCCGGCCTGCAGGCTCTGCAGGAGTTTGGAGCCGGCCTGAGCTCCGTGCGCTTCATCTGTGGGACACAGGTACCTGGGGTGGGGGTCCAGGCACGACCCGCAGACAGGTGTAACCAGCTCAGCTCGTCCCCCGCCCCTGGTTCTCTGTTAGCCCCAGAGCTGCCCCGTGCAGAGGCTGAGCGCTGGCCTCTCTGGCTGAAAAGCCTTGAGCCAGAAACTCTGCCTTTCTGAGCGTCTGAAATCCCACCTGCAAAACAGGCTTCTTCGCACCTGTCTCTCTTGAGGCGGGATTGAGGTGGAAGGTTCCGGAGCTGTCGCACCGGGGCTCGGTTCCCACGCTCCCGGTCACTGGCTCTGTCGCTGTGGGCGAGCGCCTTAACCCCGTGTGTCTCAGCACCTTCATTGGGAGCATGGGACTAACAGCACTTACTAGGATCATTACAGATTATGAGTTAATACCTGTAAAAAAAAAAAAACGCTCCCATAGGGCCTGGGGAGCTCTCTGTAGGTGTTGCTACTTATTTCGTAAATGTTACAAAGTGATTTCTGTAAGTAAAACACGAGACTCCTGTAATACTTGCTATTCGCCCGAGTACTCTTTTAGGAACATTATGGGTATTGGGGCAGGCGTTAAGACCCCGCATCCCCTATCAGAGGGCCTGGGTGGCTCCTGGGTCTGCTTCCCATCCCAGCTTTCTGCTGATGCACCCGTGGGAGCCTCAAGGACTTGGGTCCCCAACATCCATGTGGGAGAGCCAGATTAAGTTCTGGGTTCCTGGCTTTGGTCTGGCCCAGCCTTGGCCATTGCGGGCGTTTGTGGAGTGAAACCATGGATGTCAGATGTCAGTCTCTGTTTCTCTGCCTTTATGAACGTATGAATCCTCAACAATCCTACGTGATAGGTGGAGAGGCAGGGAGAGGTCTTCCAGATGGCCGCAGCAGCCAGGGCTGGGCCAAGCCCAAGCCAGGAGCCGGGAGCTTCTTCCGGGTCTCCCACACGGGTGCAGGGGCCCAGGCACTTGGGCCATGTTCCACTGCTTTCCCAGGGAGCTGGATTGGAAGTGGAGCAGCCAGGACCTGAACCCGTGCCCATACGGGCTGCTGCAGCCGCAGGCAGCGGCTTTACCTGCTGCGCCGATAGGTGCGATTCTCATCGCTGTTACTGGGTACACGGAGGTCGACCCCACAGCCCGCACGGCGGGCCCGAAGCTGGGTGGCCGGGCTCAAGAGTGCACGCCCCTGAGCCTCGTTACGTTGTCCTCTCAGAAGAGGGTGAGATGCGCGGCAGAGGCAGGGCGCCGGCCTCACCCGGGCACTCCAGCAGGACCCTCTCGAATCTGAGACTGACAGGCCCCCACGAAGCAGCCACGCTTCCGTAGTCCTTGTCCCCACCCTGCCCCTCACCGCGCCGGCACCCCACGACGAAGCAGAGCTCCACCAGGAGGGGGCGCCAGCGAGTCCCCGGCGCCTCCCTGCGCGCGGCTGCCCCGCTCCCGCCGGCTCTGGCTTCGTGCGTTTGTGCCTCCAGGACGTGTCCCACGTGGGCATGAACACCCCACCCCGTCTCACCTCCTCCAGAGCATCCACAAGAACCTGGAAGCAAAGCTAGCCCGCTTCCACCAGCGGGAAGACGCCATCCTCTACCCCAGCTGCTTTGATGCCAACGCCGGCCTCTTCGAGGTGCGTGGAGGCTGCGGGGGGAGGGGCAGCCGGGAGGACCTGGCAGGATGCCGGTGCCGTGTCCAGAGGCTCCAGGGCCCCTTTCTTGTGGAGGTCAAGCTTGGGCCAGGCGGGTGCTCCAGGAGGAATCCTGGGGCTTGCAGGGAGCTCAACTTCCCGAGCATTTGAGAGGCCATTTCCGTCAGCTGGAAGGCAGGGGTATGTGACTCCCCAGGCCTGTGGTCACCTGTCCTCCTTAGGGCCAGTACTGGGGCCCTGCGGATGCAGCCCGAGGCAGAGGCCACCTCGCCTCCCTACCCAGAGGACCACCCCGGCCCGCAGTGGGATTTTGACTTGGGGGCTCCAGAGGAAGGAGACCCCGTGGTGTTTGGATGATGGCGCTGCCCTGACCACTTCCCTCCAGGCACTGCTGACCCCTGAGGACGCGGTCCTGTCGGACGAGCTGAACCATGCCTCCATCATCGATGGCATCCGCCTGTGCAAGGCCCACAAGTACCGCTATCGCCACCTGGACATGGCCGACCTGGAGGCCAAACTGCAGGAGGCCCAGGTGGGGCTGGGCCCTCCCTCAGGCTCCCCCTGGTGGGGGAAGTGAGGCTTGCAGAAGCCAACTGCACCGCAGTCCGAGAGTTTGAGGCCGCAAAGACCAGACCTAGAACCCAGAACCAGGGCTGTATCCCTTTGCTGTGTGCTGCCTTGAGTTTGGCGAGTGCCCTCTAGGTGCACGTGGGTGGGGGTGCAGCTGGACCTAGCCTCAGCCTGCCCTCTGGGACCTTACAAGACGGTGAGACTTCCTCCTTGCCCAGGGCTAAGTGTCCATCCAGACGGCCCTTGGAGAGGACGGCTCAGAGGCACAGTGTGGTGGAGTCTGTGTGCCCACCTCTGT